TGGGTAAAGTCATGGATTAGTTTTTAGTCTAGTCCTAGGTTTGTCCTAAAGCTATTCCTTTGTCTAGTCCTGGGATAGTCCTGAGTCTAGTCCTGGATTAATCCTGATTTAGTCCTGGACTAGTCCTGGTTTAGTCCTTAGTCTAGACTAGTCCTCAAGAAATCAGATGAAAATCAGCTAAATTCTTTATCAAAAATCAAATGTTTGTAGTTCTGTACCTCTTTCAGTTGTCCTGCATCACTATTTTGGCCCCTGACCGCTCTTCTACTTATTTAGAGAATATCCCTTTTTTTTAACCATAGCGAGTTGAATAAAAAAGTAAGATTTATCTATTGAAAAATGTAAAATTGTCTTGCAAAAAATGACGCTTTTTGGACGTTCTTACTTCTGGTTCTAGTCTCTCTCTCTCTCTCTCTCTCTCTCTGTGTGCTTAGATCAGTATAAACTGAAACGCTTTGTGATGTCGCAGTTGTCAACAAAGCCTGTCCCGGTGTTGGCTCCGAGACAGGTGCAGACAGGTGCAGACAGGTGCAGACAAGAGCGGACTTTAAACAGCATTAGCTCTCCTCTTGGCTCTTCTGTGTGTAAACTGTGCGCGGCTTCATAATCCTCCGGTTCGGGGAAATGTGATTCAAATCCAGCTCATTGATAAAAACAGGACAGTGTAAAGAGGTCAGAGGTCAGAGGTCATTATGTAACAGGCAAAAGTGACATGATGCATTAAAGCCGGGAGAGTCGCTCAGAACAATGCTTTTCATTTTTCATTGTGTAACTTTTCTGGTGGATTACCCGTCGTATACTTTTCTTATTACTGTAGATATGTTATTTGCTCTGTCTGGAATATTCCACAGTATGGCTTTAAACCTTTCTATCTTCATGGAGACCAAACCAGAGCAAGTTCCAGGTCAGCTCTGTGGAGAGGCGACCCCGCTCACAGTCAGAATGCTTGTTTTTCTAAGTATTTTTGAGCTCTAAAACCACCTGTAATTGAAGAACTGTAAAGTAGACTTGTTTAATGTGACACAGCGGAACATTCCAGGCAGAGCAATGACATACTGGTATCCATAGAAACAAGCAGCTGACGGACCCTCGAACAGAAAGTTACACAGTGCACCTTTATAGATCTTTTAATTTTCCTGCACAGCTTAATGCCACATGCCATAACTTTTCAGTCCCACAAAAAAATATACTTATGTTTTTTTTTTTTTTCACTTATTTTTTGTCTTTATACGTGTTTTATTTTTTGGTTGTGTTTACTGTCCTGAAAAATAAATAAAATACATAAAATAAAATAAAAAAAACGCGTCCTTACATGAGCGGGCTTGCATCTCCACAAACCTGACTCTGTATTTGTCCTTAGAGGAGGTTCTCATTTCCATGGAGATGTTATTGCTTTGGCTCTATCATTTTCCACAGTATAACACACTGTACATCTCCATGGAGTCCTGCAGGTGACGTGCCCCTGCCAGAAAGTTACATGATATTGCTTTAAGTGACAATTCTTGAATCATGGTCGAAGCCTTTATCACAACTTTAGTTTTGTTCTTGCTTCTTCATAAACTTAATACAAATACTAAAAACAAACATCCTGTCTACAAGGATTTATGAAAACACCTGACGTCCTGCTCCTGTCTGCTCCTGTCTCCTACTGTCTGCTCCTGTCTCCTACTGTCTGCTTCTGTCTGCTCCTCTGTTCTGCCCCTGTCTACTCCTGTCTGCTCCTGTATGCCCCTGTATGCCCCTTTCTGCTCCTCTACTCTGCTCCTGTCTGCTCCTCTGGCTCTGCTCCTATCTTCTCTTGTCTGCTCCAGTGTTCTGCTCCTGTCTGCTCCTGTCTGCTCCTGTCTGTATCTGTCTGCTCCTGTCGGCTCCTGTCTACTCCTGTCTGCTTCTGTTTACCCCTGTATGCCCCTGTCTCAGACTCAGCGGGTGCGTCCCTGTCCTCTGGGATTAGACTTTAATCAGGTCAATGAAGAGTTTAGAAAGGTCAAAGGGCACGGGTAATGACGGATCAGATCACACATTAAAAGGAGAAGGACCAAGGAGCCAACAGCCACTCTGCACTGAAAAACGAGTCCTGGGGTAGTCCTGGTTTAGTCCTAGTTTGGCCCTGGTTTAGTCCTGGGTTAGTTCTGGTTTAGTCCTGGGTTAGTCCTGGTTTAGTCCTAGTTTAGTTCTGGTTTAGTCCTGGGATAGTCCTGGTTTAGTCCTAGTTTAGTTCTGGTTTAGTCCTGGGATAGTCCTGTGGTAGTCCTGGTTTAGTCCTTGTTTAGTCCTGGGTTAGTCTTTGTTTAGGCCTGGTTTAGTCCTCAGTCTAGAGTAGTCCTGGGTTTGTCCTAAATCTAGTTCTGGGTCTAGTCCTGGGTCCAGTCCTGGGTTAGTCCAGGTTTAGTCCTTAGTCTAGACTAGTCCTAGGTTTGTCCTAAATCTAGTCCTGGGTCAAGTTCTCAGTTAGTCCTGAGTCTAGTCTTGAGTCTAGTCCTAGGATAGTGCTGGGTTAATCCTGGTTTAGTCCTTGGTTAAACCTGGGTTAGTGCTGGATTAGTCCTGGTTTAGTCCTGGTTTAGCCCTGGTTCAGTTCTGGCGTAGTCCTGGTTTAGTCCCAGTTTAGTCCTAGTTTAGTTCTGTCTTAGTCCTGGTTTAGGCCTGGTTTAGTCCTGGTTAAATCCTGGTTAAGTCCTGGGTTAGTCCTGGGTTTAGTCCTGCTTTAGTCCCAGTTTAGTCTTGGTTTAGTCCTGCTTTATTCCTGCTTTAGTCTGCCCTCTGTCTGACCCCTGCTCCTTTGTCCTGTTGTTGTATAAAGAGTTACGTAAATCGATCTGAGTGAGTGAAACTGGAGATTCTGTTTGTGAGTGTGGACCTTAAACACAACACAGACTTCACCTGAGACGCCAAAGTGCAAGTCCAGACCAGAGACCGGACCAAGGTTAGACCGGGATCAGTTTCAGGCCGAGTCCAGACCAGGATCAATGACGGGAACTGACTCGGAGGTGGCAGACTGGAAAATCTGTGCAAGTTTTCCATGATGAAGGGAACAAACTGCTTCACTCCTCAGTGCACCGTCAGAGGGCACGAAAAAAAAAAAATTAAATACAAAAATATTTAAATCAGAAAATATTAAAATACTTTCTTAAAATTGCGAAACATGGATTATATCAAACTCACAATATCCTGTCAATATATCTTTGGTCTGTCCTGGTTTAGTCCTTAGTCTAGTCCTAGGTTTGTCCTAAATCTAGTCCAGGGTCTAGTCCTCAGTTAGTCCTGAGTCTAGTCCAGGGATAGTCCTGGGTAAATCCTGGGATTATCCTCGGTCTGTCCTAAATCTAGTCCTGAGATAATCCTGGGATAGTCCTGGATTAATCTTGGGTTAGTCCTGGGTTAGTCCTGGTTTAGTCTTGGGTTAGTCCTGGTTTAGTCTTGGGTTAGTTCTGGGTTAGTCTTGGTTTAGTCTTGGGTTAGTTCTGGTTTAGTCTTGGGTTAGTCCTGGGTTAGTATTGGGTTAGTCTTGGATTAGTCCTGGTTCAGTCTTGGGCTAGTCCTGGGTTAGTCCTGGTTAAATCTTGACTTAGTCTTGGGTTAGTCCTGGTTTAGCCTTGGGGTAGTCTTGATTTAGTCCTGGGTTAGTCTTGGGTTAGTCCTGGTTTAATCTTGGGTTATTCCTGGTTTTGTCTTGGTTTAGTCCTGGTTTAGTCTTGGGTTAGTCTTGGTTTAGTCTTGGTTTAGTCTGGTTTAGTCTTGGTTTAGTCCTGGTTTAGTCTTGGGTTAGTCTTGGGTTAATCTTGGTTTAGTCCTGGTTTAGACTTGGGTTAGTCTTGGTTTAGTCTTGGGTTATTCCTGGTTTACTCTTGGGTTAGTTTTGGGTTAGTCCTGGTTAAATCTTGATTTAGTCTTGGGTTAGTCCTGGTTTAGCCTTGGGGTTATTCCTGGTTTAGTCTTGGGTTAGTTTTGATTTAGTCCTGGGTTAGTCACAATTATGCTCACAAAATAACAAACTATAGTCTGCTATAGTCTATCTAAATAATACTCTTGAAAATATGGTCATTTATTCAAGTTTAATTCAGTTGTAGTTATTAAAATGTTATAAAAAACAAACAACAGAAATCAAAACTCATACACTTCAGTATTTTTGATCATGCCATTTCACGTATCCTCTCCAAACCTCACCTTCCTCGTCTTGGTCCGTGTGCCGGTTTCCAGGGATCTGCTAGTCCTAGTTTAGTAATGGGTTAATCCTAGGTGTGGTCCTGGTTTAGTCCTGGTTTAGTAATGGATTAATCCTAGGTCTAGTCCTGCGTTAGTCTTGGTTTGTCCGAAATCTAGTCCTGGGACTAGTCTTCAATTAATCCTGAGTCTAGTCCTGAGTCTAATCCTAGGATAGGCCTTGGTTAGTACTTGGCCTGTCCTGAGTCTAGTCCTGGGATAGTCCTGGGTTAGTGCTTTTTTAGTTTTAGGTTAGTCCTGGTTTAGTCCGTAGTCTAGACTAGTCCTAAATTTGTCCTAAATCTAGTCCTGGGATTAGTTCTCAATTACTCCTGGGTCTAGTCCTGAATCTAGTACTAGGATAGGCCTTGGTTAGTTCTTGGTCTGTCCTGAGTCTAGTCCTGGTTTAGTTCTGGTTTAGAGCTGGGTTAGAGCTGATTTAATCCTGGTTTAGTCCTGGTTTAGTCCCGGTTAAGTCCACCCTCTATCTCACCCCTGCTCCTTTGTCCTGTTGTTGTTTAAAGAGTTACGTAACTAGATCTGATTTAATAATACTGTTGAAAATATGGTAATTTATTCAAGTTTAATTGAAATATAGTTGTTTAAATCTTATAAAAGTGACAGAAATCAAAACTCATACCCTTCAGTATTTTTGATCATGTCATTTCACGTATCCTCTCCAAACCCCGCCTTTCTCGTCTGCAATTGGTCCGTGTGCCGGTTTCCAGGCCTCTGATTGGCCGCTGTCAGTGTCGCTCTGCTGTGGTCTCACTCCCGGGCGGTCAGGCGGAGGAGTCTGTGGAGATGAGCCGAAAATCACTCACTGTTGTCGGCTTGGAAGTAGCGGCAGCCCGGGGGTCGCGAACACCGCTCCGCTCGCTTCTTTTTCGGCTTGTCCTGACCGCCACTGCTTCTTTATGGACACTTTGGATTAAAACGTGTGGGAATGAGCAGTTTTGATCACATGATGGTGCTGAGAAAACGACTAAAAAGGCGAGATTGTGGTGGGAGGCTGCGATGCTAAGTCGAAGCTAAAGCGTTAGCCTTGTTTCTTTTTATTTTATTTTATTTTTTTTATTTTTTTTGCTTTTGGGACATTTGATTGTGCATATTTTTCAACCAGATTCTTTTGCTGGTTCGCAGATTTTTTGAAGTTTTGTTTAAAGAAAAGCTTAATGAAACGAGTAAACAGCTTCAATAGGTGGGTATCAATGCAATGAATCTCAATGCATAATTGATGGTGCAGTTGTAACATGTAGAAGCGTGATTGTAGTGGAAGAAGATAACAGTGGCACGTACTGTATTGACGACACACGCCTTTATCGTGTCTCTCTTTGGCTTCCTGTTACAATAGACCTATCGAATGTCTCTTTTCAAGGCTGCTTTTTGATTCATTTCTGCAGATAAATACACAGGAGACAATGCAAACCACAAATGACGTTCACAACGATAGAGAAATCAATAATGTGGTCATTTCCTGTTTGTGTGAATGAAAATTGGACTCTTAGGGGTTTTTTTTGTTGAGAGTATTGACTGAAGAGGAAGTAAGTAGCAGAAATGAGCATGTTTTTCCTAAAATGCAAATAGGCAGTTGCATGCAAATCAAGGCCAGTTTATCATACAGTCTGGTTCATACAGACTAGGGCTGGGTATCATAAGAAGATGCCAATATAATCGATACATAGGCCTTGATACGATATGTTGTTGTTGTTGTTTTTTTTGGATACAGTGTACTTTTGATTCAATACGATTGGATACGATGTATTTTAAATCTTTTCGATATGGTTCAGTAAAAAACAAAGGCTAAATCATGGCTGTGATACTTAGTCTTTATTAAATTAAGTTTGTGAAAAGTTAATATGAAAAACATTAAACACCATTTTACTCAAAACAGTGAAATGTGTCAAATGTGTCGCATAAACATGTTTCCTTTCTCCAAACAAGCAACACAACTGTAGCACTGTTATAAAATAATTTTGTAAAATATACCAAAAAATACTTTATATGATATATTGATACAGCAGCCCATGATATTGATACTGTATCATCAAAGTAAACGATACGATATATCGATATTTCTCTCCTAATACAGAAATGTTCCTGGATTGTTCCATAGTATGACATTAAACTTATTTAGAATTAATTTTACTGCATGTGTTTTCATTGCTTATAAAAGCTTTGAAAAAGAAAACATAGTTACTATGAGCGGGCTCGCATCTCCACAGATATGACTTTTAACTTTACCTTGTGGTACTACATGTTTGCCTCCAGGTAGATCGATACATTTAATGTCTTACTGTGGAATATTTTAAGCAATGTAATAAGATCTCCTTGGAGACAATCATATGGTGTATCCTCTGCCCGGAAAGTTACGCAGTTCACCTTTAATGGGCCACTATACACCAAAATAACTCTTTTCTACTGCTGATCTGTGTAAATGGGTCTAAAATAGAAATGTATCTCTATCCCTGGCCTTATTTTGGCATTTTAGTGCATATTTGTTAAAAATTGGACTTTTGGGTCAAAGCCGTGTCTGTAACGGCCTCTTTAGGATCAACTGCGGCCACGATATTAGAATTTTTGGGTTGGACTAACGGCCAGTGAGTCAGATGCAGGTTTGCAGGTTATTACGTGACAAGCTCACCCACGGGTCTAGCCACGCCCCGACCCGGCACTGCCATGTCCCTCCGTGTCTGGAGAAAAGGGAAACGGCATGATCTGAGCACAAACGTCCGCTCTGTTTCAAAGTCCGGAGTGCACTGTGTCCGTGCTGTGTTGGATTGTTGTGGCCGTCGGTCAGTTGTCAATCATCAATCCAGAGCCTGGCCTACGCCCGCTCCTCCCAACCCACCGCGCACCGCCCACTCTGGAGGATTTTTTAGAATTTGCTCAGTGGAGTAAAGGAGTAAATCTTCGGGAGGGTGTTTAATGGCTTGTGCTTTGTGATATGAAGGATGTTAGAAGGACATAGGCCCATATGAACATTTAAATGAAGTCTTAGTCAACCAAAAATTTAATTAGATTATAAGAATTTGGCCTGACATCAGAAAGGAGAAGTTAGTTAGTGAGTTAGCTTTGTATCTAAAAAGGCTCATGTCATGTCATTCACAAGTTGAATCAGTCTTTATATAAATACATTGTTTCCTGGTATTTTTTTCTACATAAATAGTAGTTTTTGCATGAGCTCCCCCACAGGTGTAGTCTTGTGAGTGTCAGATACACAGCGATACCTAATAGGCTTTATTCACGTTAACCCGAAGAAGACGTTTGGAAACATGCGGATGATGACTTCCGGTGTAGTTCCCGACACTGGGCATGTGATAAAACCGTGAATTCAGCAGCGGCGTCTTCACAACCTGCCAAAGATTTGCAGGGGGGACGGGCCTCTAATCATGTTTTCGTGCCTCTATATGCTACAATTATATTTTACTTTTTATTAAGACTTATTAAGACAAATTTATAACAAAAATACACAAAATGAAGAAAGAGACATTTTTTCAGTTTTCTATCGTCAACAGAGCCCGAAAGAAGTTGTCATCCGCATGTTTCCAAACCTGTCTGCCGGTTTTGTGACGTATGCATGAATAGAGTTCAGTTTTGAGAGCTTTTGTCACACCTCCTTTTTAATCAGCCATTCGATTGCCAGGACATGTCTTTAGTGGACCAAGAATTTCTTACTACAGTCTAAGGAAATTAAACATAATCTCACGTCCCTGAATCCAAACACTAGACCTCTCTCCAGTGTTATTCTTGGCCCTGCTCCAACATAAGCACACACAGTAGTAGAGCTGAGTACACAGAGGGGAGGGCAGGACGGAGGGCCCTGTGTGATTAAATGCACTTTGTATTGACTTGTTTTTCTGTATTGACCTGATTTTGTTTCACTGTTACAGGTTCATGAACAGAAGAGCCTCTGCAAACTGCCGCTACCAGCCCACATGCTACGAGCACGCCGCTAACTGCTACACGCACGCTGTAAGTGCACAGAGGAGGGAAAACCATACCCAGGTCCTATAATAAAGACAGTATCAAAACTAGATACTCTTTTGTATCAATAGTTTACTGACAAAATCACACAAGAAGAACGCTTTTTCTTTTAATAGTTTTAGAATGGTTTAGTTTTACATGATAATATCCAAAAACTAATATTGCTTTGTGTTATTACTCTCTATATCTATTTAAGAGAGCTGTATGTAGCCTGCGTTAGGGGTGTGCAAAAATATTGAAATTAGGGGTGTAAAAATATCCAAGTCTCACGATACAATATCGTCCTGGTGTGAACCTCACGGTATGATTTTTATTGTGATATCGTGGGGAGGCTCACGATTAGGGATGTAACAATATCTAAATCTCTCTGTACGATATTTTCACGATATACATCTTACGATGTACAATATTTATTGTTATATTTTGTGGGCAAAACTGTTAATATGCTACTTTTTCAATATATTGTATCATTTAATGTGATGATACAGTATCGATATGTCGCCAAGAGTATTTTTGGTACATTTTACAAAATTATTTTGTTACAGTTACAGTTTTGTTTCTTGTTCAGTGAAAGGAAACTCACGCGACACATTTGACATTTTCACTGTTTTGATGATTAAAATGGGCGTGTTTCATATAAATTTAGCACAAGAAATGGTCTTTAGTATCTTTTAGTATAACGGCCATGATTTATTCTTACTGAACTGTATCGAAACGATTTGAATTATATCATATTGAATAGTATCGAATCGAAAGCTCACTGTATGAGATACATATCATGGTCTATGTATGTATGTAACATCTTAACGATATCCAGCCCTAGCCGGCATTCTTTCTTTCATTCAACAGTTTTCAAAGATGTATTACACGTATCACTATTACAAACTGAAAAAACATCTTTAGTTTTTTTATTATGACATTTCCTGCTCTTTCTGATTGGATCAATATAAAAACTCAAGAGGCAGTGATTTTGAGGCATTACCCTGTGGTCTGTACATACCATTATAACGCTCTGTGTATTGTCTGTGCTGTAGCTGCTGATTGTTCCGGCCTTTGTGGGGATGGCTCTGCTCCACCGCCTCTCGGACACGTCGTGGGAGAGGATCACGGCTGTGGTGTACGGTCTGGGCCTCTGCGCGCTCTTCGTCGTCTCCACCGTGTTCCACATCATCACCTGGAAGAAGAGCCACATGAGGTCTGAGCATAAGATATTTAGAACAAGACAGTTTTAGCCCTTATGGTAATTTTTGGGTAAATATTGTTTTTAAAGCTTCCATGCCCATGTGTATTTGATTGGCCCCTCCCCTCACCTGACCTGAGCCTTTGTTCAGGCTCATCTGTTCTCTCTGGTCTTCTTCTGTCAGGTCAAAGGCTGATATTTGGTTTGGGCTCACCAATTTCACTTTAGTGCAAATGAAGATTGCACTGCACTGATTGGGAAGAAATATGAAACAGTGTGGTGATGGTGGTGAGGACTAAGGAGCACCTAAAGACTGTGTTTCCTGCTTTTTACTTGTCTGGTGAGCAGCTGTCTAATGTTGATACAGTCAAATACCTTGGTCACATGATCACGAGTGATCTCAGGATGATGATGACGTTCAGAGGCAGTACTGCAAACTACGCACAAGCAAATATGTTGGCACGGAAATTGCATATGCGTAAAAGCAATGTGAAAACAACTGTTCAGCGCTTACTGCACATCACTCTATACTGCCCACTAGGGATGTGACAATAACCGAAATACTGAGATATCGTATCGTCAAAGTTCTCACAATAATATCATGGACCATCACAGTATATCGAATTACAAGTCTCTTTGTTTAAATTCATTGTTATGGTGCAGCAGTAGCTAAAAAAAGACAGAGGAAACTACATAGAAGAAATAACAGTTCTAACACTTTTAAGTCTTAGTTCTTTGAATTAAGTCTTGTCAAGGCATTTTAAGAGGAAAAAGTAGCATATCCACAGTTTTAGCCGTTTTGCATCCACAAAATATCACAATAAATATCGTACTGTGAGATTTGGATATCGTTAGATCCCTAATCGTGAGCCTCCTCACCATATCGTGAACTTTCCCACAATATCACAATAAATATTGTACCATGAGGTTCATACTGTGATGATATCGTATCGTGATACTTGGATATCGTTACACTTGGATATCGTTACACCTCTACTGCCCATTTGTAGTGCAGTTACAGTAAAAGTAAATTTAAGAAACTGAAGGTTGCGTATAATGATGCATTTCGTATCCTGATTGGAAGTCCCTTGATGGACAAGTGCCAATTGTTTGTGCAGAATAATGTATGCTGTATAACACTGAATGCTGTGATCAGAAATGTTGAATATAAATTCATGAAGCGCCTGGAGGACTCACAGAATTAAATTCAAAATGTTTTAATAATGCCTGGCATTGGAGGAACTGTGGCTGTTATTTTTTTTCTATATGGAGTCTGAAATAAAGCTTGATTGATTATGGGTTCATACTAAAAACAAGATTGTCAATGTCAGTTATAGTTTCATTATGCAGAGGAGTAAAATGTATAGACAACATTTACCTTAGTAGTAATTTAAAATCATATATTTCTGGGGAAAATAATCAAAATCTGCCCGAACATACTGTATCAGGCCAAAAATATCGGCAGATCTTCATCAGCCATCGGTTGCTTTGGATTCTAAACATTTAGTATGACATTGGCCATGAAAACCCCCACATTATTTCTTTATATTTCTTTTCAGCAGTAACATGGATGGCCTCTAGTGGTGATGTGTGAGAATACAAGGGCAGGGTCGGACACTATAATTACACATGGTAGCTTTAAATTCTAGATTAAAGCACTTTTCTAAATTTCAAAATAAAGCTGGTTCTGGGTGTTGGTTTTGTTTTTTATAACGGGATGAATAACTTCCCTTCTGTAGCAAAAACATCACGATAATCAAATTTATCATTTGGATCTCGTGATCAAACATCGTATCCACTTCAGTCATTGTAATGTGGAAAGTTGTACAAGGAAGGGCATCTGGCATAAAAAGGCTGGCATCTAGGTTGTTGGCTTGACTGTGGGACATTTTCCGTTGCTTAGTGGAATGTAAACAAACCACCAGTCGTCACTTCTGGGCAGCCTGCTCTTTGACGTCACTGGTCACAGGAGCTAAACAGCGTTAACACTCGATAGCGTTAGCTCTGTGCGCACTGACAATTTGAGGTCAGGTTTCACACTTTCACTTCTCTCTCCTCTGTCTTGCGTTTATAGTGAGAGGAAGTGTCTGTCTTTTATCAACGCTATATTCCTTTCCCTTTTTGTATTATCCTAAATATAGAAGTTTATGTAATCTTTAATCAGCCTTTTTGATGCAAGAGGAAGTGCCTGTCTTTTATCTGCAGCTGAGATGTCACTTTGGGAAATGACTTGCTTTTACTGTAATGGGACTTACAGTATTATTCATGCCGTGCCGTTCACAACTTCTTCTGTTTATAAATCAGGGCCCGACCAATATTATCAGCCGATATGGGCAGTTGGAGACATAGCGGCTATCAGTCTAAATCTTGCTGACGATTGTCCACGTGGGCATGTGATACCTTGTTAGAAAGCTTAGACTCTCTATATTATGTCCATTTAATCCAATTTACAGACAGATAAATGTCCTATTGTGTGGCGCCACATCAGTATTTATCTGTGGACTAATTTGTCTGTGTGTGTGACTTCTTACTGCCCCTGAACACACATCACATCACTCACATGCTCTTGTTTACACTCGTGCGCAGCCATAGATCAATATGCACAACACTGAGGTGCTGCTTTAAACGCTCTTGTGTCTGATCCATGATACTGACTAAACGTAAAAGTTAAACTCAGCACAGTTTAAGCCAGCAACAAAACTACAGATTGTTTTTATCAAAGTGCAAGTGCAGAGAAGAGAGAACTGTCCCACAAACAGAGGACTGTCCCCATAGCCAGAGGACACACGCAGCTGCTGTCAACATGCTGGATTATATTCTTTTTATGGGCAATTGTTTTGTGTCAGGATTAAAAGGGCACTTATTTGTGAAGACTTGTGATCTGAGAGGTGCCTGTGTGAGCAGTGAGTGTTGTAATTGTGTCGGTTTTGGAGCTACTTTTGGTTTTCAGTGGTTAACACTTAACTGATGTAAAATATCACACATAAACAGCCTGTTTTCTTACATCGACCTACAGTCAAGTGTCTATAGTGGCTGGACACACGTTACTGGACCTGAATTGATCTGTAAATGAGCTGTGGACAGAGATCTGACCATATTGGTTGAATATTATTAATGTTATTATTAGGGATGCACTGATCCAGCTTTTTCAGCTCCAATACTGATGCCGATACTATGGCTTAAAGTATCTGCTAATAGCAACCGATACTACAGCAGAGACTGAAAATATGATTTATTTCTTTCAAACCAAACAGCATATGTAGCTGAAAAGTAACAGTTACATACACTGTAATTACAGAATAGCTTTGAAATCATTTAGATATTAACTAAATAAATAAAAAGTCTCATTACACCAATTAATAGACCAAAATAGGAAATCTGCTGAACCGATATCTCTGAGCCGATATTCAATCCACCAAATGTTTCAATATCGGTACCAATATCTGATACCAGTATCATATTGGTGTATCCTTAATTATGATTATTCATTCATGTTTATATTATTGTAATTAAAGCCACAGTATGTAACGTTTTAGCCAAAAAATAGACTAAAATAAAAGCATGTTTGTTTTGTTTTGTTGTTTTTTTTTTGGTTATGAATCCATTTTTAGTGTTCAAATAAAGCTTTGTGCATATTCTTCAGACAGCTGGTTAGCCCAAACCAAATGTCGACCTCTGCTTTAGATTTAAAGGTGCACTGTGTGACTTTTGTGGCTGGTTACATGAAGTCTTCTGTTTGTTTCAGGTCCATGGAGCAGTGTTTCCACATGTGTGACAGAGTCGTCATATACTTCTTCATCGCTGCCTCCTACACGCCCTGGTCAGACCCTCTCTCGTCTTTATATAGTATTCTGCCCTCCTTCATCCGTTTCTTCTGACTCCTTCTTCCTCTCTATTTCTTCGACATCTGTTTCTCTCCCTTTACTTTATAACAATAACAGTATAACAATAACCAAAATATCATGAGATCGTATTGTCAAAAATCTCATGGACCTACACAGTAAATCAAAATTACAATTTTCTTTGAGTAAATTCATTGTTAAGGTGCTGTGTGAGTTTAATAAAAATGGAGGGAACTACATAGACCATGATCCTTTGCTCCCTGTCAGTGCAGACTACATGAAAAATAACTTATTTTTAGCAGTTTGAAATCTTAGTTGGATTATGACAGAATTTTGTGAAGGCATTTAAAGAGGAAAAAGTAACATTCGTAGTAACAGTATTGCAGGAAATATCGTACCGTGAGTTGTATATTGTGAAAGTATCGTACAGAGAAATGTGACTATGGTTACATCCCTTGTATCTGACTCCTTTGTTTGTGTGTCAGGTTGAACTTGAGGGAGCTGGGTCCTCTGGCGGCTCACATGCGCTGGTTCGTTTGGCTCATGGCGGCGGCTGGAACCATCTACGTCTTCAACTACCATGAAAAGTACGAAGTTTTCTATAAAAATAAATACATCCTAAATAAATCCTAAATAAATAAATTCTTTCCACATCTTTGCTGTTCAGATACAATGGTTTGGTTTAACCTAGTACTTTTTGTTCATGCGTCTCTATTTGAATGAATCAGTTCAAGTTGGGATATATTATTGATATATACACACAAGTTTTAGAACACTCTAATTTTTCTAGTAATTTATTGCAGTTCAAGTCGTCCAAGTCCAATGAAGAGCTTGAAATGGTACAAACGTAAAAACTGAAAAGCGGGATCCCGTTTGTTAAGTGAGAGGTGCAGAAGACAAACAGACTGAGCTGCACTTTCTTGTTCTTGTGGTTTTACAGCAACATCACGTCTTGGTCTCTTTGCAGTGGAAGGTGTTTCTTGGTGAACAACTGGTGCCTTTCACTTTGGTGTTGACTTTTTAAATTCGTAACCAAGGCTGAGTGAGGGATGGGGATTTTGCTTTGTTGTTGCTCCACATACAAAATGTTCGCTGCAACCTCGGGATGATTTAGGCAGTCAAAGTTTCCTTTTTTGTCCTTCCTGTGGATCAATCCTGCCCATCGCCTTCACCTTTCACTATTTTTCAATTTCGTTGGGAAGAGAAACAGTTTGAATGGAGGTTTGCAATCACACACATCTGATTCCCTTTTGCAGTTATGGAGTTCGCAAACACATTTCTCGAGCCGTTTTCCGCTGTTAGGATCCAACAACCACACAATTACGATGTCCGAATCCCAAAACTAAAATATGACAATATCAGAATCAGAAACAAAAGTGATATGGTTCAAAAGACTTGAAAAGATCGACTTTGTCAATAGACATATCCCACTGGGAAAACAAACATGGCAGTTTGATGCTCACTTTTTTGGAAAATCCTTCCCAGTATGCACTGCACAATGACCAGAAGGCCGAGATTCTTGATGCGTGTATTGAATCTCTTCTCCGTTGTTCTGTTGTGTTTCAGGTATAAACTGGTGGAGCTGGCCTTCTATCTCACTATGGGCTTCTTTCCTGCTTCAGTCATCACCTCCATGGTAATGAATACAACTTTTAAACTGGTTTTATATTGTCTGTCTCTCTCCCTTCCTTTTTCTTCTGTCTGACTCTCTTTTCTTACTCCCTATCTCCCTTATCTCTCTCCCCTCCCTTTTCGTGCTTCTTCATCTGTCTCTCCCTCTCTCTTTCTTCCTCATCTATCTCTTTTTCTCCCTCTCGCTCCCTTTTTCCCCTTAACTCTCCCCTCCCTTCTGCCCTCCCTTATCTGTCTCTTCTGTCTCGCTCACTTTCCTTCTTCTCCCCCCTCTCCCTTTCTCATCGCTTTCTTCTCTCTTTCTTTCTCTCTATCTTTCTCTCCTCATCTATCTCTTCTGTCTCTCCCTCTCTCTTTCTTCCTCATCTATCTCTTTTTCTCCCTCTCACTCCCTTTTTCCCCTTATCTCTCTCCTTCTGTCTGCTCTCCCTCATCTGTCTCACTCACTTTCTTTCTTCTCCCCCCCTCTCTTTCTCATCTCTCTTTCTCATCTCTCTTTCTCTGTCTCTCTTTCTCTCTCTCTCTCTATGTCTCTCCCCTCATCTGTCTCTTCGGGCTCGCTCACTCTTCTTCCTCCCCCTCTCTCTTTCTCATCTATCTCTTTTTTTTCTCCCTCTCCTCTCAGCCCCTTTCACTCTCTCTCTCAACCTCTTATTCCTTTTCCCCTCACCTCTCTTTCTCTCTCTCTGCTCTCTTTCTCTCTCTCTCTTTCTAAACACTAAGTTGAGGATGTAAACCAAAGAAACTATGAAACTATGATGGTATTAAAGTTCAATGTGTAACTTTTTTGATGGAGGGTCGGCCAGTTTGTCTCTACTGAGGTACTACTGACGATTGCTTTGCTTGAAATGTTCCGCAATAAGGCATTACACTTTTAACTCTCTTAGTTCATCTTTGTTCACGTACAAATGTTACAGGTTCAAAAATACTCTGAAAAACAAACTTTCTTGCCCCATTTTCTCTTTTGTAAGCACTAAAATGAGGAAGTGAAAAGTAGAACAGGAAGCCAGAGTTTACAGAAAAATGTGAGAAAGATTAACACTCAAACACTCAAAAACACACAATTAAAAACTGTGTAATTTAAAATATCAGACTTAAAGTATGTACGCAGCTAAAAAGTTTTAAGATATAAACACTTAAATCTATCAGAAAACTTGAAGAAGACTTAAAAACAGTGTCATTATTTGTCCATGCAGCAAGATCATTTTACTTGACAAGTTCTCTTAAAATAAACTACCTCTAGACTAGAATGAAGCAGTCTCAGAACTAGTAAGTAGAAAATAAATCTGAAAACAAGCTGAATAACCTGATACAAGTTTTAAAATCTTCAAATGTTCCACAGTGTGACATTAAACAGCTCTACTTTACATTTATTCAATTACAGTTGTATTTATAGCTCTAAAATCTCCACAGATCTGACCTGGCTTAGTCTCTGTGAAGATAGAAAGGTTTAATACCATCCAGACAAAGCAATAACATCTCCATGGAGACAAGCATTTGACAGACCCTCCACTGGAAAACTTAGGCCCCGTCCACACTAGTATGTTTGAGTTGTTTTCGTTGTGGATGGAGTGTTCGTTTACACTAATCCGATGGAAAACTGCTCCGGAGATGGAACGATCTGGTGCCGCCAGCTCCCACGAATTCATCTGAGTACAGATCTGATTCGGTGTGGTATAGGATTTTGGTGCACAGTGAGGTGATCCCAGGGTCAACATATTATATAGTAGTTTGACCCCGGGGTCAGAATCGTATTATGGTATGTTGACCCCCCCATAGAATATTGACCCCTCTATGAAAATCTATATTTTATTAATAAACAACTTGAATTCTATAGAGAAACTTTGAATATTAATACTATATCTGCAAATTAAAACATATTGACATATTTAACTCCCCAGTATGTTTATTATAGTTATTATGACGTAAAGTAAGAAGTGATGTTAGATGAATATTGACAACGATTTATTATATATAAAGAAGGTCAAAATTCTATACTGTAGAAACATTCCTAAATTCAAGGTTGTTATTGTTACAAACCACTGCCTAAATTGACATTATGATGAAGGATTATCTGAATAGAGCAAACTAAAAAACATAACAATGTAAAATACAATATAGAAAGTGACAAGATTACTATGTATATGCAATTTTAACAATACATTACATTTACACAAAATCCCAAGTCGTTATCCATCAAAATATTCCTTAAAATACCTTAAAAGAAAGTGAATATGTAGCAATATATAATAAATGTAAATGACATGAGAAATAATGATCAGATAAGTAACTACTAAAGAAAAAAGTAAGAGGAGTCAAATCCTATGGGGGGGTCACTTTACTATAGTGGTATATTGACCCCGGGGTCAATATACTATGGGGGTCAAAATACTATCTCACACCGGCACTGTGTGGACACCTGAAAACACTGATACACTGATGTAGGTCTGTGCGCCGTGAAGTAATTCACCGCCAAAACGCTAAGAGGCTAGAATATATTCATATATATGGTCTGTGTGTACGACCTGCAGACGTATAATCTCTGAAAAGTTTAACAAGAACAATCTCCAACGCAATAAAAACACAGAACAGACTCACCATCAGCAGAACACCCCTTCACAGAAAGACTCATATTCCACTGAGTCGTGTCCTTTAGTCCGACAGAAGCTGAACATCAGCGCACAATAGCAGGCTGTTTTTTGAGCTCTCAGTTTATGCAAATTAGTCATGTGGGTTTAAATTTTAAGTTTCTGTAAAACGTAAACACATGTGCTCAAAGCTGTGTGGATAGGGAAGGCTTGCGGACACAGAAACGACGTGCCAGGACACAGAGCGTTTTTGATACAGTGATACGCGGATTCGTTTCAGTGTAAACGGGGTCTTACACAATGCAGCTTTATTGAATTGCACATACCATTTTGTATAATTGTGCTTCTATATTGAGTATGATTGTGGCTCTGAACCAAAACATGACTCATTTCAGAGCAGCAGATTGAACGGAAAATGAATTAAACTAATATCATCAGACATCTGGCTCTAGATTACAGTGTGAAGCGATCCTCTGCTGTTTTTGTATTTGTGATTCGCGTATAAAAATATTGACATCTGAATGATCTCGTAATTGAGTTCAAACACAGATCGTAAACAGCTGTTATCTGTGCGCTCTGACCGTTCTGAACTTTGGATCAGAAGGACTCATCATCACAGTACAATGACCAGGTTCAAAGTTTATGAGATTACGCTGTGGCTGGGGAACACTGAAATTCTCTCTATTATCTCTGACAAAATCAAGTGTGTACACAAAATTAAAATCAAATTGAAAGCGAAAGAGATATTTTAAAATACACATACTTTGTTTTTCAAATACAAGTTACTATAAAAATCCACTGATTCACTGACACGTGTCACCAGGTGTTTTTCATGATCAGATTTCTCTTGTGCTGTAACAAAATCAGATCTAATCATCGGGTTGTCTGATTACTCTAGTTATCTGATTTCTGCTAACCTGGTTTGAATTCACTGGCTCCTCCACAGAAATGTACCAAGCATTGTCCCTGTCAAAAGTCACAGATTAAAAAATTAAAAAAAAAACTCAATTAAATTAAAATAAATTAAAAATAAAACATAATCGCAGTATTGTAGGGCTGCTCGATTATGGAAAAACATCATTATCCCGATTTTTGGTCAATATTGAAATCACAAAACGATAATTTTTTTAGTTACACGATGCATTTATTCAGCATTTCTCTCTCAACAAAAACACTTTGTTATTGATAATGTACGCAAAACTTTCAAACTGAAAATAAAAATAGGCTACAGGTATGTACTATAGAGCAGTTTTGAGATGTATAAAACATAAATTGAATCAGATATACTTGGAACATGACATAAGGCAAAGAAAAACACAAATGTATCCAAAATAAACTATATATCCAGCTGTTCTTACTTCTTATATATATAAAAAAATAAAATTAAATCTGTACTTTTTTGTATAAAAAATATTCCAAAATAAATTTGTAAAGCTTTAAATTGTTTCAACTCCATTATATGAGTTTGGAAATCGTTTGACACACAAATCGAGATCGTGATTAAAATTTGATTAATTGCACAGCTTGCAGTACCTTATGTAACAGATAATACTCCCTACAACTGTTCAACAACTCACCCTTATGTAACAGATAATACTCCCTGCAACAGTACAATAACTCACCTTTATGGAGCAGATAATACTCCCTACAACTGTACAACAACTCACCCTCAACTCTCAACAGATAACCCTATGTCCTGTCAATCATCTTATCATCTTGGCACTGTTTTCCTACAACCTCAGCTGTGATATATTTGTATTACTATATTTTAGGGGTGGTACAAGATTTTGTGAGACAAAATTGCCAAAAAATCATGCACACAAGAAAAAAAAAATTCTTGTGAGATTTTTTCCCAAGTGTTTACATTTGGATTGGACACAAAAGTGTTAATGTCAATTAAGTCTAATGGTGTGTTTAGACCAGAGCGTCAAAAAACGTTGCTTTACGCCTATAGTTGGACGCCTTTGTATTTGAGTTTAGTCGCCCCCAATGAGCGTCCTGGATGCCTTGGACGAACGGGAGAAAAATACTTGATTCACGGTCAGGGTGTCCGTTGCCCTGGAAACAAGTGCCATTTTCTTTCTTTTCCTGGAACAATGGCAGACCAGGTTGAGAGGCTTTAGTGTATTATTGCATAAACCCATCAGTGAAGGCGATTGGCTCGGCGGCTGCAGCATTTATATATTTATACTCCGTCAGTGCCCTGGTCGTGCGTCCACACCTAAACGCCCAAGACGCATCGTGTCGACGCCAGATTTGCGATGCGCATAAACAGCCTAGACACACTTTATAGACTATAAACTGGAGGCCTTTATCTGGTCTGAACACACTATAAGTCTAAAAGCTGCTAACCCTATAGTTTTATCTCATATCTGGTGAGTGGTGACTAAGGACGGGCATTCGATGAAATTTTCTTAATCGATCGTCGGAAGAATTAATGATTGATTATCGATTAATCATTAACGTTTATATATTAAAATGATCATCATTATTATTACTATCTGCACTACTAGTCTGCATAAATAAATTCAACTTTACAACATATAAACCATAACCACTCTAGAGCCACATCAGCCCGTTTGACATTATAATGTGTTTAATTCAGTTTTGCTCAACTGTCACAGAAACAAAACTTAAAACCGCATGGCTCATTTGCATAAACTAAGCGAAGATAAAACTACAGCTCTTGTGTCGCTGATGCGGTTCAACTTCTGTTGGATTTAAAGACACGACTCAGGTGAATACAGGTTAGTGTGACCATATTTGCGTTTGTCAAAACCAGGACACCGTACGGGGGGAGGGAGGTGGGGACTCGTCATCAACATTGAGCGACTCTCACCTGGCAAAACTTTTTCCCACTGGACACTGAAACATATGTACCTGCTTCATACACTGTGCACATGGACTCACACTTGTCCCGAACACAACGGAAAGCGTGGAATTTATTGTCCAAGTCATCGTTAAATATGCATTTTTGCTTCTGTACGTTGCAGACTGACCCACTGTTTGTGTCTCGCTCCTTTTGAGTGCAGAGACACATGTACAGACCTGTTTGGTCACGATACACACAGCAACCTACATTCAGTTCGTCGATTAAAATTAACGTAATCGATGAAATTCTTAATGATCAATTATCGATTAATCGACTAATCATGCCCATCTCTCGTGGTGACGCAGATTGGTCAAATTTCAGAAATTTCAGACAGTCTCTTTAAATATATGTGTTAGGGAAAATAAGTGTTGTCCTAACGAGTCCTAGAGGCTGGAAGCTCTGGATGTCTGAGGCAGCAGAAGTTTATTTACCATCAGTCTGGGACCCGATGAACTTGATTACTCAACACAGCGCGTTAGTAGTGGAAATTCAAGCCTGACTCTGCTTCCACACAGGGAGGTTTAAATCGGAGCTAAGAAGGACAGTGTGGAGACATGCTGGCCCAGATAAAATGAGAAAAGCAGAGCGCACTGCTTCTGTAGGACGAGTTAACCAAGGAAACTGATACAAATTCTGTAATAGTTGGATGAGGCCAGAGAAATGGTAAATGGTCACATTTTTCTATCGCGCTTTTCCACCTTCAAGGCACTCAAAGCACTTTACAACAAGGAACCACTCACCCATTCACACACACATTCACACACCAGTGTACGCAGACACTGTGGGCAAGGTGGGTTAAGTGTCTTGCCCAAGGACACAACGGCAGCATTCATCTGTGGGAGCTGGAATCGCACCAGCCAACCTGTGGGTCCGTGGATCTGACCACTCAACCTCTAATGTTTATGTCGAGAGCTGGAATCAAACCGCCAACCTTCAGATCAGTGGGCAAATGCTCTTCCAACTGAGCTACTGCTGAGAAAAACCATAGAGAAGACTGTGCAGGGGACGCAAAATTCCAAAACGATATGTATGCGTTTTTGAGCTCAGATTTTAGTCTTCTCTCAAATGTTAACTCCCCGTGATGTGTTAAAAATTGATTTGAAAAATGTATATATCTGAAATTCTAATCCCATTTCTTCTCTTCTGTCCTCAGAGTAACACAGACGGTCTACATGAGCTGGCGTGGGGAGGTCTGATTTACGTTTTGGGCGTGTTCTTCTTCAAAAGTGACGGCATCATCCCCTTCGCGCACGCCATCTGGCACGTGTTCGTGGCTCTGGCGGCCGCCGTCCACTACTACGCCATCTGGAAATACCTTTATAAGAGCCCCGGGTCCGACTCTCTGCTCGAAACGTGACCCCCAACTGTGACGGTAGTAAAGTGCACTGCGTAACCTTTCTGATGGAGGCTCTGCCAGATCGTCTCTCAGGAGATCCTGCTGCTTTGCTGGGAATGTTCCGCACTGTGGCATTATACTTCTATCTATCTTGCATTAGTTCTCTTACAGGCATTACAGGTGCAAATATACTCTGAAAAACACGTTCTTACTGTGAGTTGGGTCGCCCCTGCACTGATCTGACCTGTAACTTGGGCTGCCTGTCTCACATGCTTCTTGTTGTCTCCATGGAAATAGAGACATTCAATATGATACTGTGGAACATTCCTGGCATATCCATGGAGACAAGCAGATGGCAGACTTTGCACCAGAGAAAATACACAGTGCAATTTTAAAGTGCATATGACGGTATTTAATAACACAATTATATTTAAGAATTACTGTATTTTCTGCACTATAGTTCACTCTGGATTATAAGGCGCACTGTCATTGAATGTTCTATTTCTGACCTTTTTTCACAAATAAACCACACTGGACTATAAGGCGCATTAAACGAAACACAACAGTTAGATAAGTCAGTCAAACTTTATTTAACACGTTCACAATAACTCTCAACTTTGTTCAATTGTAACACGTAAAAAAATACTGTCTGAGAGGCTAAATTGTTAGAGTATTTACAATAAGTCATAATTGTTCAAACAGTTGGGCGATTACGGCGTCCAGCACGCCCGCATCCCTCTCGTCATTATCCGAGTCAGTGTGGTTACTGTTCCTTGAGCTCGGACCACAGTTGATACTGATCCTTAGCCCGGGCGTCCACGATCCGTTGGCAGTAAGTCGCTCGGCGCTGTCTCCCCTGTCTTGGTGAATGTGTGTTCTCCTTCTCTCATCCACTGCTCCCACACAGCTCACACTTTCACTTTATAACAGCCTTGAGTTTAAAGTGGGAGTTGTGGGCGTGTCTCTTGACAGGTGCATTTTGATATTAAAAGGAATCACAGTATGTATTAATGCTCTTGACTACGGGAGCCGTAATGCTGCAAGTGGAGCGGCTTTGTAGTTTACTAAAGTCGTACTAAGACACCCCAATAAATTCATGTATAAGACACTCTGGATTATAAGGCACTCTGGATTATAAAGCACTCTGGATTATAAAGTATAAGTTTTTGATGAAATTATAGGCTTTTAAGTGCGCCCTATAGTGCGGAAAATACGGTAACTACAAATCTTGCATAGTTTTTTTAGTTTTTGAATTTTAGGTAAGTTTATAATTCTACTTCCTGTTTGGACAGAGATAGAGGTAACAGTTACCTAGCAACCATAATGTTAACAAGGGCCAAACACATCTAAATTACATCATATTTATGATTAGACTAATACAAATACCTGACAAAACCTTTATTTTGGTAAATGAAGGTTTAAACTGTCAGAAAAATGAAATTATAGCTTCTTCCTGTCTTTTTGTACTTTTTTCATTTTTTTACTATTCCACCAAACCAAGTCAGACTGAAAAACTTGAAAACCTGTCATATGCACTTTAAGTATAAAAAAGGAAAGAAGCACATGGCTCCTACACAATAAAAGCACTCAGAAAGAAAATGACTTCCAAAATAAACTACTCATAGGGGGTGCCGATATAAACTGAAAACCAAGAAATCTTTGTATCAATAAATAACCATATCGCTGATCCATTTAAGATAATAATAATATTAGAGAATGTCTGCAATTGATTTCACAAATGTAAAAGCGAAAACTTAACAATTTGTGGAACTAAAAATCACAAATTTTTCCAATATAAAAAGATACAAAGTAAATCCTTCAAAATATCTAATGTAATTTAATCTAAATAAGGACTGACAGTAATGGTGTTTTCAAAGTTTGTTTTAAAACATTTGAATTTTAGTTCTTATTTCAGAAATTACAATTCATATCAAATTTGCCTTCATAATATTCAAATTTTGATTAAGTTGAAGTAACTTTTTGGCATGAATGTTGACAAAAGCTGAGAGCACTTGACAAAAAATTATGTGAAAGACAGTTTTTTTGTTTCACTATTTGATCATTTTTTCTTAGTTTTTATGTCTGATCATTTGGGAAGTTAAATATTAAATAGTATTGTGAAATTTCTGCCAAATTTCATAGCCAGAAAGTTTGAAGATTGGAAAATTGAAGGTACTTTACACTGCCTGAAGCTGCCAACATTCACAACATCAAAACGTTTACAGTCCAACAGAAGCAGATTCATGTCTTAAGAATTTGAAATTTAAAAAATATATTATTCTAGTATTTTATAGGAGCTCTAAAACTAACTAATTTCTGTAATTTTTGAAAAGTGCACCAACGTAGGGAAAACAACACATGAAATTTCAGTATTTAAAGACATAGTATGTAACTTTTTAGCCACAAAATTGAGAATGGTATTGGTTTTGGTTGTGTTTATTGCACTGAAAAACTTAGAAACTGCCGCTTCCTTACTGTGAGCGGGCTTGCATCTGCATAAACCTGTTTCATATTTGGCTTGGAGGAAGGCCTCTTGCTGCTCGTTTCCATGGAAATATTGGCATTAATATTCCACAGTATGGCATAAAACATATCTCCATTCTGAAGTATGTTTTGAACTTTTTGTTTCCATGGAATCACTTATCCACCTCCAGAAAGTTACATATTGTACCTTTAAGATAAGTATTGTATTCGTATTTGAGCTGTAACAAACTTCTAATTTAAGGAGAACAAAACATAAAATTCCAGTATTTGAAACAGTGCAAAATTCAAACTCTGGACATGAATTTGCTTCTATTTTTTTGTACATTGACAAAGTACGGAGCCCCTGAAATCCCTTAAAAAAAAGAATATCTTAATCCCTTTAGGGGCTCCGTACCAAAGAGCAGCGTTCTAGAGGAAATCTTTTCTATGAAACAAAAACAGATTGTATTAACCTTTCACACATTCCACTCATTTTGTAACAACTTCACATTTTTGCCAAATCACAAATCAGTCTTTATATGAGCATCAGATGGACTCAGTAATAATGATACTAAAGCATTTTCTTTTTCACTTGCTCAAAACTACCTTGACATTGGTATTAAAAAGACTTTCTTATTCACAATATTCATTCATCAGCGTAAACAAACTTGAAAATGAGTTATTTCAGATTAAGACTGTAATTTTGTTCTCATTTTGTATTTGTACAAACTTGATTCTCATTCATTCTTCTGATCAGTGTGAGGCGTCTTCAGACCTTGTATATCTGTCCACGGGCATATGATGATAATGTCAAAGCTTGATCTCGGTCTCAGAAGGTGACCAGGGACGGGTCTGGTTAGTAATTGGATTGGAGACCTTTGAGAATACCAGGCGCACAGTGGGGGCTGCAGAGGCAAAAAACGGTTGTGTCCTTAGTAGGGATGGTACAAGACGTAATTTCCACAAGACGAGACGAGATTGGGTCCACGAGACAAGACGAGATTTTAACGTACCGTATTTTCTCACACTATAAGACGCACTGTCATAGAATGGTCTATTTTCAAACTTTTTTCTCAAACGAACCGCAGCGGACTTTAAACGAAACACAACAGTTGGAGGGGTCAGTGGGACTTTGTTTGGCACGTTCACGGTGACTCTGGGCTTTGTTCAGTTGTGTCTAGAAGTGGCACATTGCACTCGCTTTTTCGGTTCGTTCCTCCGTTCCGTTCCTCGTCGGTGTGGAGTGATGAGTGTGTCTGTGGGTGTGTTTCGCTGTGCGGTCGCTGTCTGCTCCGTGTGTGTTTGTGTGTTCTGTGGGTGGTGTGGCCTTGTAGTTTACTGAAGTCGTGCTGGGACACCCGAGTGGATTCGTGTATAGGGCGCTCTGGATTGTGGGGTGCGTAGTCGTTATTTGATGGGGTTGGAGGCTTATGAGCGCGTCTAATAGCCCGGAAAATACGGTAATTAATAATATACACATTTAATGGTTCAGTTTCCAGTTTGGACCTCAGAATTTTCTTTTTAGTTTGATTACGCATTTTTGTTTCCATTCTTGTACGGCTCTTTGGAACTGTTAGAGCTGCAACTCACCAACACGTGACCCTTTTTGGCCAATTCAAATGTGAATCTCACGCGATCTTTTTTCTCTTGTGTGTACGATCTTGTGGTGATTTTATCTCGCGCGATCTTCTGGCATGAGATCTTGTACCGTCCGTATTCCATAGGCAAACCCTTGATCAGACCTTGTATATGCGTCCACTGGCAGGTAATATGACATGATAATAATGTCAAAGCTTGATCTCGGGCTCAGAAGCTGAGCAGGGATGGGTCTGGTTAGTAATTGGATGGGAAAACCTTGGGAATACCAGGTGCACAGTGGTGAAGCAGAGGCAAAAACGGTTGCGTCCTTTGTAGGGATGGGACGAGACACAATTTCCTCAAGACAAGATACGAGATTGGGTCCACGAGAACAAAACAAGACGAGATTTTCCAATTTTCAGTTTCCAATTTTGGCCTTAAAACTTTCTTTTTATTTGTTTTCATGTTTTTGTTTCCATTCTTGTACAGCTCTTTGGAACTGTTTGAGATGTAACTCACCAACACGTGACCCTTTTTTGTCCAATTCAAATGTAAAGACTTGGAGAAAAAAAAAAATCTCAGGAGATCTTTTTTCTCTTGTGTGGACGATCTTGTGGCGATTTTGTCTTGCGCGATGTTCTGGCACGAGATCTTGTACCGTCCTTAATTCTTTCCACAATGTCCACAAGATGAGATGAGATATGAGATTGGGTCCACGAGAACGAAACAAGACAAGATTTTAACATAATTCCTAATACACACATTCTTCTTATTTCTTTTTATTTGTTTTCAAATTTTGTTTCCATTCTTGTACGGCTCTTTGGAACTGTTCGAGATGTAACTTACCAACACGTGACCCTTTTTTTCCAATTCAAATGTGAACACAAGATATTTTTTCTCTTGTGCGTACGATCTTGTGGCAATTTTGTCTCGCGCGATGTTCTAGCACGAGGTCTTGTACCGTCCCTAGTCCTTAAGCAAAACACTTGGTCCACATAGCCTGGCGTTAGTTGGTGGGAGGGACTGATGGTGGAAAGTGGCAGCCACGCTTCCGTCAGTCTGTCCCCGGGAAGCTGCGGCTACAGTAGAATCTCACCACCGACGAGCGTGGAGTGAACGAATAATGCCGTGAAGCTCTTGAAAGGAGCTGTATAAATCTATTGCATTATTACCGCTCTAACATCTCTGCAAAAAAAAAAAAAACCTGCAGAATTATTACAGTAAATACACAAAAAAATTTAAGAAAAGAAATGGAACGCCCAACCTGTCATTTTGTTCTACTCCTGGTTTATTCTTGCTCTGGACCAGGTTTAGGTAAATCATAATTTTGATGTGATCGCAGCTGAAATGAATCCACAACCTGTATTTGTTTTTTTTTTTTTTGGCTGGACTATAAACACAAGTTCTGAAGATCTCCTCAAACACGACCTGTACTGACTCTGTTGTAAAGTATTGTAGCGCCCTCTGCTGGTGTGAGCGTACATCGCATTGGTAAGAGACGCCGGACTCTTTATATTTAAACTTGAGCCAAACATTTCTGTGACTGTGGCGTTTTATGGTATTTTACTGTGAAAAGACGTGAGCGATTCTGCATGACTTTTGTACTTTGTGACCAGGGCTTGAGATTAACATCAGTCACATTTGGTAACACGTTTAGACACCAGAGGAATTTTAAACGTAAAACTCCTCTGAGCTGATCTGCTCTACAATAAAATAAGACGTGATTATTAATTTAAAATGTAAAAATTAAGATCTTCTCAGTGTTACCAAAAAGTCTCTGTACCTGATTTTTTTCTTTCTTAAAAACGCGAAAAGCAAAACTAGTTCATTTGAAATGTTTTGCCGTGTTCCAAAGTTATTCTTCACTCACTTTACGCATTTAGAACATCCTAATTATTCATCATGACGAGTTTAAGATTCTTTCCACAACCCCCAGAGACCAGTTTGGAAAAAACAAACACGGAAACGGAAAAAAAATCAGGTACAGGTCCTTAAAGTTGACGTCAAGCCGTTGGGATCCTGCGTTCTCTGCTGCTCTGTTGACGACGAGTGCGGGATTTAAAAAAAAAAAAGACTGAATCAATCAACTTCGCTCATAGTTTTTGTAAAAATATCGGCTGCGTTCGGATGCCGCGGCTTTTCCAAACGGCGGCTCGTCCTTCTGAAATCTAGAACCACTGTGTTTTGTAATGTTTGTATATTGGATATTCTATTATTACCATGTTCTTAATGTTGATCCTGGCCTTTGCAGGAAACTGAAACTGCTTTTGTCCATTGGCTGTTTATGGTGCTGCCGATTTAAGAATGCTTCATGTAACTTTCTAATGTGACAATAAAACAATAATATTCCCAGTTGTCTCTTTAATTATTTACTGTGGCGGGGTGGTCTTCTGGATGTCGTCTCCTGTCCTCCTGAGTTGTCTTCAATATAACCGGACAGATTTTAGTTTTTATTGTCAATTATTTAGATTACAAAAACACGTTAAGTACATCAAAAAATATAAAATGAAAATATGTTTAGTCCCACTACACAAAACGAGTCATGTCCAAAGCAACAGAGCTTCTCTACTGTTATTTAGATACTGTGCAATGGCGCCATCTGGTGGGACTTTTATATTTTACAACAGCTTTACTTTCTCTGCTCCTCTTGAGTTCTGTATGTCTGGAGATGATGTTTAAATGCCCCAAATTCCAATCACTGACGTTTCTGTACAGACCTGTTTGTAACGCTGATTTACCACCGAGACAAGCTCTTCATTTGGCCAGAGGGTTTTACTGTTACTTTACTCAAGTACATTTAACTGTGCCGTTTTCAGACACCAGAACTTTGCTCCTACTTGAGTAGATTTACAGTGTAATAATACAACTTTTATTTGATTTCTTCTTCTACTTTGTACTTCTACCAGAGTAATATTATTCTAAAGTAATGGTATTCCTACTGTAGTACAATTTTGGCTACTCTACCCAACTCTAGCCCTCTCAGGCTCAAATTAATTTGTAGTAACAGGAAGAATCTGATATTTGGGGAAAATGATCATATGGGGCAGTAATATACAATCCTGACTTTTTTTTGAGTGAGACCTTCACATCCAGTGTGTCTGGGATGTTGCAGATTTGCAGCATTGGTCCAGTGTGGTAAATTAACACTGAAGACTGAAAATGATATAAACACTAACTTTATGTGTTCACCACTTTTCATAACAATGAAAACATAAAGCTCAGTGTAACAGCTTTACAGTGGCAGAACAACATCACTTTTTCGTGTGGTTCTCCAAGAAACAATTTTTATCCTTTGTAAACAACAAAAGTACTTTGCACTTCTGGCAGGTCGTTTGTGTGTAGTCGTTCTTACACAGTCTGCATCGTCCACGTTTATCAGCATGGATGAGAAAAAAGGCTCCTGAGTAAAAAAGCTCATAAAATATGGATTTGGAGTAAGTAGGTAATTGGCATTTAGCTGTTGCAACACCTGCCTGGAGAGGGTTAGATCAGGCTGGCGCCACCTAGTGTCTCCGCTCATTTTCATTTCTCTCCGGTGGCTAGGTCATGAATCAGAATACACTAGAACAGGGATGTCCAAACTTTTTCCATCAAGGGCCACATATTTAAACACAGATGAAGTAGAGGACTGTAGACTGGAGTTCAATACAGTGAATAATTGAAATATGTTTAACATGTTAGAATGAGCCATCAGTCTTTATTCATGCCAAGATCCTTAAAACCACACACTAAATATTAAATATGAGCTTAGTAATTAGTTCATTTTTAATTGATGCAAGGTCATTTAGGCCAATTCACCTGGAGGCCTGAGGGCTAAGACAAAATTGTCTGAGGGCTGCATAGTTTGGACAAGTCTGCACTAGACGGTTTGCAAGAACCCCTGAAGTGTGAGTTCGGGCACCAGCCAATCAGCGAAGAGTCATATATTCAGTGTTGGCAACGATTTCCAAGATCGAGGATTTAAAACCGGAACAAAGAGAATGTTTGGTGAATTTTATCAAGGGGAAAGACGTTATTGTCCTTCTTCCTACGGGATTTGGGAAAAGCTTCATATACCAGTTAACCCCGTTAGCGGTACGCCTTACATACGTCACGACCAAATAGCAAGGATTGGTTAAATAAAAGAAAGTAGCCGCCTACCGTCGAACAAACGAATCCTAATGTTGCGAGGTCAGATGTTTTTTACAAAAAGAAGCCGACTGATGAATCAGACTACCTCTGGATATGACCAGTATTGATTCAACTAATGATTATTTTAATATTGACCATTTGTGAGAAGAATCCCTCAGCGTCTTGGTAGAATCCACGACGAGGAGAAAAGTGGATAAACTGATTTTTCTCCTCACCAATGTTGACCATTGTGTTTTTCATTAGTTGGTATGTCCAGTAAATATTTCTATTATGTACTTTGACATTTTGCACCAACTTTTTTAACCGCATAAAGGTTGAGATATGGTGACTGAAGCTTTCTTGATAGAGAATATGTACGGTGTATTATTAATGAAAGTCTGTTTTCACATACAAGGTGTTTAAGCATTGTTTAAGAGCCTCTATAGTCCAGATCATGATAATGATTATCAAAATACAAATGCAGTTCTTTTAATAACTGCCCCAAAACGAACGACAAGACTTGTGTTCATTTTAGCTTTTGGACAACTTTTAATTTCAGATTTTGGTTTGTTTGTTAAAAAGTTTTTGTTTTTTTTTTCCTCTCAACAAATCAATGCACTTTTCCCATAAGCCTTTGAGCCTCACATTCTTAAAGTAACAGTAAGACCCTGTTATTACATTACAGGTACAATGAAATGATAAAATAAAGAATATTATCAATCAAGTATGTATTTATATCAAATGAAGATGCTTTTTTTTTTTTTAGCTTTTTAAATGAAATATGAATTTCATCATGATGAGTTTAAGATTCTTTTCACATCCCCCAAAGACCAGTGTGGAGTGTAATGTGACACGGAAAAAAAAAAAATCAGGTACAGATCCTTAAAGTTCACGTGAAGCCGTTGGGATCCTGTTTTCTCTGCTGCTCTGTCGACGACGAGTGGGGGGAAAATAAGAGACTCAATGAAACAACTTCGCTCATAGTTTTGTAAAAATATTGGCTGCGTTCAGAGGCCGCCGCTTTTTGAAATTTAATTAGTTTTTAATTTCAGATTTCAGTCCATTTGTTAAGAAGTTTTTTTGTTTTTTTTTACAACAAATCAATGCGCTTTTCCCATGAGCCTTTGAGCCTCACATTCTTAAAGTAACAATCAAGACCCTGTTATTACATTACAGGTACAATGAAATGATAAAATAAAGAATATTATCAATCAAGTATGTACAGTGAGGAAAAGAAGTATTTGAACACCCTGCTATTTTGCAAGTTTTCCCACTTAGAAATCATGGAAGGTCTGAAATTTCATCGTAGGTTCATGTCCACTGTGAGAGACATAATCTAAAAAGAAAATTAAAAAATCCAGAAATCACATTGTATGATTTTTTAACTATTTATTTGTATGATACAGCTGCAAATAAGTATTTAAACACCTGAGAAAATCAGTGTTAATATTTGGTACAGTAGCCTTTGTTTACAATTACAGAGGTCAGACATTTCCTGTAGTTTTTCACCAAGTTTGCACACACTGCAAGAGAGATTTTGGCCCACTCCTCCACACAGATCTTCTCTAGATCAGTGAGGTTTCTGGGCTGTCACTGAGAAACACAAGAGTTTGAGCTCCCTCCAAAGATTTTCTAATGGGTTTAGGTCTGGAGACTGACTAGGCCACGTCAAAACCTTGTTGTGCTTCTTACAGAGCCACTCCTTGGTTCTCCTGGCTGTTGGAAGACCCAGCCTCGACCCATCTTCAACGCTCTAACTGAGGGAAGGAGGTTGTTCCCCAAAATCTCTCAATACATGGTCCTCCTCTCCTTAATACAGTGCAGTCGCCCTGTCCCATGTGCAGAAAACCACCCCCAAAAGTGTTTAAATACTTATTTGCAGCTGTATTATACAAATGAAGAGTTAAAAAAAATCATACAATGTGATTTCTGGATTGTTCTTTTTAGATTATGTCTCTCACAGTGGACATGCACTTACGATGAAAATTTCAGACCCCTCCATGATTTCTAAGTGGGAGAACGTGCAAAATTACAACAGAGTATAAGGGTCAGATAAAAAAAAAAAGATGCTGGTGCTACAAGAATAAAGTCGTAACATTTCAACATTAAAGTCGTAATATTATGAGAATAAAGTCGAAGCCAGAAAAAGTCGTAATTTTACGAAAATAAAGTCATAAATTAAAATAAAGTCGTAATATTATGAGAATAAAGTTATAATATTACGAGAATGAAGTCGTAATAAAATCAAAGTCAAAGTGAAAAATGCGGCAGAAGAAGAACCTTGTTTTTCAATATAAAACCAAAAATAAGAAAACAACAATTTTCTTCATTATTTGCGCCTCCGGACTGAACCAGGACTAAACCAGGACTAAACCAGGACTAAACCAGGACTAAACGAGGTCCGAGACCAGACTGGGACTGAGACCAGGATTGAGACAAGAACTGAGTCAGGGACCAAGACTGAGACCGGGATCAGACAAGAACTGAGACCAGGATTGAGACCGGGACCAGAACAGGACTGAAAACGGTTTAGTCCTGATTCAGTCCTGGTTCAGTCCTGGTTCAGTCCGTATGCGGCGCAATAGTCCTGCATCGCATTTTAAAGTCACGGAAACGCCATTTCCCAATTCCGTGACTTAAACCAGGACTAAACTAGGACTAAACCTTTTTCAGTCCTGGTCTGGTCCCGGTCTCAATCCTGGTCTTTCTGGTTTGGTTCCGGATTCAGTCCTTGTTCAGTCGAATGAACGAATGATACACGGATTCTTCTCCTTTACAAAATGCTCCAAATTCTCCATTCTCCACGAGCAGCCGATTTTCTCCTAATATTACCACTTTATTTTGACTACGACTTTATTCTCATAAAATTATGACTTTATTCTCGTAAAATTACGACTTTTTCTGGCTTCGACTTTATTCTCATAATATTACGACTTTAATGTCGAAATGTTACGACTTTATTCTCGTACCAGCATTTTATTTTTTTTTTTTATCTGACCCTTATACTCCGTCGTACAAAATAGCAGGCTGTTCAAATACTTATTTTACTCACTGTATTTATATCAAATGAAAATGTTTTCTTTTTATCTATTTAAATGAAATATGAATTTAGTCTTATGAATTTTATCACAGGAATATTGCATTTTAATTTTCAGGGCACTACAATTATACAAAACAATGTCTGCAGCCCTTTTATACGTAAAACTTCAATGTCTACAATGAAATAAATAAAAACACCAGAA